CTGCTTTTCCTTAGGTTTTGGAGAGATTTTGGCGTTTCCACCTTTTCGGCTTCACGACACCCCAAGACGGCCCAAGAGGCCCCCAAGACCGCCCCAAGAGGGCCCAAGAGGCCCCCAAGAGGGCCCCAAGACGGCCCAAGAGGGCTCCAAGACGGCCCAAGAGGCCTCCAAGACGGCCCAAGAGGGCCCCAAGAACGCCCCAAGAGGGACCCCAGGGGGGGAACACGAAACAATATTTCGAGCCCTCGGCCCTCAGAAGTCCCCAGGAGGCCCCAAGAGGCCCCTAAGAGGCCCCAAGAGGCCCCCAACAGGCCCTCAGGAGGCCCCCAAGAGGCCCCCAAGCGGCCCCAGGAGGCCACCCAAATGCCCCCCCGAGCACGCAAGCAAGTGCCAGCGACGCTACACTATGGGCCGGCGGAATGAGCGAAGCGATTCAATAACCTTCCCAGAGATTGCCTGAAGCAATCCCCAGCCGTTCCCAGAGCGCTTCCAGTGAACAACTGGAGGGAAATGCCGAGAAGACAACAAAGCGTTCAACAACAACTTCAACATCTCGATCTGTTTTGCTCATCGCCAGCCGCCCTAGCATGACGTTCCCGAATGTCATCAAGACGGCGCCCGAACATCCCAATATAGCTCTGATGTATCCCATTATGATAGAGAGGGGGCTGGCGGCAGGGGGCGAAGCCCTTACGGATCATACAATAAACCACGCGGGAAACCATACATGAGACCACACGGGAGATCCAAGCCACCAATTCCAGATCGGGGAATGCCCGAATGCCCGCACACGGCCTTGGACAAATTACAGGACCTCGACGCGCAAGCTGCGTAGATAACTGCATCGTACAGTTACACTGATGGAGGGAGTGTGGTGTTCAACATGGGATTCGCACGTCTGCGCCGCGAACACCCGTCTTCGACAAATAACACAATTACACGGATGCGTGGCGGCTCATCTTCAAAATTTGGTTTTCGCTTGGTACTTGTCCAACTGCTCACACCGCGCCTGACAAGCCGAGCAACACTTACACTGACGAAGGGCGGCTCCTATTATGACCGCGCCTTCTCGCAGTCCTCTGAGCTCAAGATACAGGGCTGCGTCTTTCAAGCGGAGCTCCAGTCTGAGTTTTATGGGGCACAGGCTTTTCCAGACTGCGCGTCGCGCAGTGAATGAGAATGCTGGAAAGACTAACGAGTGAGCTTGGAACGGGAGTCTGAATCGTACCATCGTTGGTGCAGCTTGGGTTTTGACTGGCCCTCCCCTTCCAGCAGGCCCTGAAACGCCCAGAGAGAGACCCGCGACTGCCGAGAGAGGCCCCCAAGATGGCCTCCGGAGGCCAAAAGGTCTCCTGCAGGCCCCCGGAGGCCCCGAAGAGGCCCCGAAGATGGGACTCGCGCCGTCGCGCTGGGCCCGGTCGTCCCAAACATTTCCGCAGAAACCGTGCCGTTGGATCTCCTGGGGTGAAGACGACGACGGCCACGACCTCCGACCCCGTGGTTTCTGCCACAGCGTGTGCCCACAGAGGGCTGAACGAACTCGACGGGCCTAGGGGCCTGGCGAAGGCCCTCGGGGGCCGAGAGCAATCAACAAAACAATCGCGCCGTGACTTTGTCCACGTCGCGGGGAGGCCTGGGCCCTGGGGCCAGGGGCGTGGCATCGACCCCCCTGACTGTTCCTGGGGTGTGCGCCGACCAGAACTTCGAGGCGGACCCAGCCTGGGCGACGAGGAGCTTCCAGAAAGGGCCAGGAACGCCCAGAGCCAATGGCTCCCTTGTTCCCACACAACGAGCCCTCTCACGCAACTAGCCACGCGAAGCGCACCATTCGCTGCAGTCCCCCCCGCAAGCATAACCAGCCAGCGTGCAATTCGAGCGACGGATTTTGGCAAATAGAACGCGCGAAAGGGGAGGAGGAGAAGGAGAACGTGAAACAAGTAAAAGCGCTTCGGGGGCAGGTCTAGAAGCAGAGCTCACGACATTCTAAACCCAAACAGGGTCGTGGGTCTCACGCCCGCGACCTGCCTGGGGCGTTCCCGTGACCCCCTGGGTAAGGGGAGGGCCGTGCAGACAAATCCCCCCACCAAGAAAGCAACAATGCGGGGAACTGGGGCGTGGGACAATGTGAACGTCCGACCCCCTGACTCCCAACATGATCGACCCACGAACCCGGAAAGGAATATAGAGCTGTAACGCATGGCAACTTTTTCAAAGACACCTGATTGGGTGACGGGCAAGTGCAATGCTGAGTGTATCGATCTTGATGTACCCTGCCGAGGGCTGTGCTGTGCTGCACCGTGCTGAACTGCGATGTGCCATGCCGCGATTGTGCTCTATGGCGTCGTGGATCGAGTCCTCCTTTACATCCGAGTCCTGACCGAACTGATCTGGATCTTCAGCTCGAGCTGCCTGAACACATAGTAGCTGCCCCAGAGCTAATTGGCAGGGGGGCATGCCAGGAGGACGCGCCGCGGAACGTCTCAAGGGACGCGCCAGGCGACGTGCAAGGGAACGTGCCATGGGGACGCACCGCGGGACGTGCCAACGGGACGCGCTACGGAACGTGCTGGGGACAAGCGTTTCGCTTGAGACATCCTGCGAAAATCCTACGAATTCCTGGAACAACAGGCGAATTAGTCGAGACATCATCGAAATTCCTGCGCGCGGGACGTGGCACGCGCGAGACATCCTCGGAATTCCTGCGAGCGGGACTTGAAAACAACCATTTCGCAGACATCCTCTGAATTCTGGCCCCCCACGAGGCCCCCGCTCGAGACCCCCCCAATGTTGTAAAACCAGCGTTTCGCTCGAGACACCCTCAACAAATTATGAAACAAACAAGCGTTTCGCTCGAGACAGCCTGGCAAAATCCAAAGAAATCCCGAAAACAAATAGTCGAGATATCCTCGAAATTCCTGCGCGCGGGACGCGGCACGTGCGAGACATCCCCGGAATTCCTGCGAGCGGGACGTGAAAACAACCATTTCGCTTGAGACATCATCTGAATTCTGGCCCCCCACGAGGCCCCTGCTCGAGGCATCCCCCAATTTTGCAAAACCAGCGTTTCGCTTGAGACATCCTCCACAAATTACGGAAAAACATGATCGACCCACGAACCAGGACAGGAATATATATATATATATATATATATACACATGTAACGCATGGCAGCGTTTTCAAAGACACCTGATTGGGTGACGGGCAAATGCAATGCTGATTGTATCGATCTTGATGTACCGGGCCGACGGCTGTGCTGTGCTGCACCATGCTGAATTGCGATGTGCCATGCAGCGGTTGTGCTCTATAGCATCGTGGATCGAGTCTTCCTTTGCATCCGAGTCCTGACCGAACTGATCTGGATCTTCAGCTCGAGCTGCCTGAACACATAGTAGCTGCCCCAGAGCTAATTGACAGGGGGACATGCCAGGAGGACGCGCCGCGAAACGTCCCAAGGGACGCGCCAGGCGACGTGCCAGGGAACGTGCCATGGGGTCGCACCGTAGGACGTGCCAAGGGGACGCGCTACGGAACGTGCCAATGGATGTGCCACGGAATGTGCCAGGGGACGCGCCACGCGACGTGCCAGGGGGACTCGCCAAGGGACGCCCCACGGAACGTGCCAAGGAACGTGCCAAGTTGCAATGCTGATTGTATCGATCTTGATGTACCGTGCCGAAGTCTGCGCTGTGCTGCACCGCGCTGAATTGCGATGTGCCATGCCGCGGTTGTGCTCTATAGCGTCGTGGATCGAGTCCTCCTTCGCATCCGAGTCCTGACCGAACTGATCTGGACCTTCAGCTCGAGCTGCCTGAACACATAGTAGCTGCCCCAGAGCCAATTGACAGGGGGACATGCCAGGAGGACGCGCCGCGGAACGTCTCAAGGGAGGCGCCAGGCGACAAGCCAGGGGACGTTTCGCTCAACACATCCTCAACACATTCTGATGCTAGACATCCGCCTGGGCGAAAAGGACACGTGAAAACAAGTAGTTCGCTCGAGACATACTCAACACATCTTCATGTGAGACGTCCGCCTGGGTGACCTGGGCACGTGAAAACAAGCGTTTCGCTCGAGACGTTTTCAACACCTCCTCTTTCTAGACATCCGCCTTGGCGACCTGTACACGTGAAAGCAAACGTCTCGCTCGAGACATCCTCAACACATCCTCATGTTAGACATCCGCCTGGGCGACCTGGACACGTGAAAACAAGCGTATCTCTTGAGACATTCTCAACACATCCTCATGCTAGGCATCCGCCTGGGCAACCTGGACACGTGCAAACAAGCATCTCGATCGAGACTTCCTCAACACCTCCTCTTTCTAGACATCCGCCTGGGCGACGAGGACACGTGAAAGCAAACGTCTCGCTCGAGAAATCCTCAGCAAATCCTGGCGCTTGACCTCTGCCTGGGCAACCTGGAGGCGTGAAACCAAGCGTCTCGCTCAAGATATCCTCAAGACCTGGGCACGTGAAACCAAGCATTTCAGTTAAGAGATCCTCTAAATTCTGGTCCCCAGGAGAAGACAATCTATAACACAAAACAAGCGTTTCACTCGAGACATCCTCAACAAAGTATGAAAAACAAGCGTTTCGCTAGGGACATCCTGAATTTGTTATTCGCCGGCCCTCTTCCCACTCGTCATTTATCGCAGAAGAAATCCGCCGGCCCTCTTCCCGTCAGACCCGGGGGCAAACCAACTAAAAGAGAACCCTGGGCCTACGCCCTTTCCAGGAAAAAAGGGAGCGGGAGGAGGAGGGAGAGAGTCGAGCTACACTGGGGAAGGACCTCGGGGCGAGGACGGGTCGGCACACCCAGGATTCGCCCGCTGCCGCCAAGGCCGTCGATCCTCGAAGTTCGATCAATCAACGAGGGATCCGTCGAAGGATCCTCGATCCTCGAAGGATCCACGACGAACCTCGGTCGTCGATCCTCGAAGTTCGATCCTCGAGGAAGGCGTCGATCATGCGGCGGCGCGGGGGCCCCCGCGCGGAGGCCGCCTGGCGGACGCCGGGCCACGCCTGCCCGCGTGCTGGGCGCGGGGCGGGCTCTCCTCGGGTGTGGCTGGGGGGGGGCCTTTGTGAAGCTTCCCCTCTCCTTCTCCTCCTCCTCCTCCTCCTCCTCCTCCTCCTCCTCCTGCTCCTCCTCCTCCATCCCTCCCTCCCTCACTCCCCCCGTCCCTCCCTCCCTCACTCCCCCCGTCCCTCCCTCCCTCCCTCCCTCCCTCCTCCTTCTCGTCCTCCTCCTCCCTTCTCCTCCTTCTCCTCCCTCTTCCTCCTGCTCCCTCCTCCCTCGTCCTCCCTCCACTTCCTTCCCTGGCGGCGGAACGCGGTCCAACCGCTCTTTGCAGCTGGTGCCGGCGCCCCCACCCCCCCCGGCGCTTCGCACCGGCCCCCGTGGCCAGCACGAGGGCCGAGCGGCCGAGCAGCGGCCACTTCCTCGGGGGAGGGGCTGCGCCAGCCCGGGTAGACGAGACAGCGAGGCGCAGAGGGCCTAAAGCGAAGGCCCGGCAGCGAGGCGAAGGCCTGGGCGAGCACTGCGAGCACCGGCAGCGAGGCGTGGAGGGAGCCAGGCGCCGCCCGCAGCGCAGCGTCGCTGTGCCGCGGCGCTCGCGGTCCATCCGCGCAGCGCGCCCGCGCGCCGCGCGCGCGGCGTGCCTCGACGGACTGATCCAAGTGCTCAAGAAGGAACGTAAGAACCCCTACACGTCGTTCAGTTCTTGTCGTGCTCATCTCTAGTTGTGCTCATTTCTAATTGTTCCTGGCCCCCCTGGTGGCCAGGGAGAGGCCCAAGACAGAACAGTTCCCAAACATGATGGACCCACGAACCCGGAAAGGGATATAGACATGTGCAGCATGGTCACGTTTTCACGATATCCAACTGGGCGACACCTCACGAAACATCCCACGAGACACCCCGCGAAACATCCCAGGAGACACCTCACGAAACAACCCACGAGACACCTCACGAAACATTCCACGAGACACCCCGTGAAACATTCCACGAGACACCCCACGAGCAGGCAACCACTCAACCAGACACCCCACGAAACATTCCACGGGGGTGCGACTGGGTGTGGTCGTGCTGGGGTGTGGTCGTGCTGGAGTATGGTCGTGTTGGGGTGTGGTCGTGCTGGGGTGTGGTCGTGCTGGGGGGTGGTCGTGCTGGGGGGTGGTCGTGCTAGGGGGGTGGTCGTGCTGAGGGGTGGTCGTGCTGGGGCGTGGTCGTGCTGGGGCGTGGTCGTGCTGGGGCGTGGTCGTGCTGGGGTGTGGTCGTGCTGTGGTGAGGTCGTGCTGGGGTGTGGTCGTGCTGGGGTGTGGTCTTGCTGGGGTGGGGTCGTGCTGGGGTGGGGTCGTGCTGGGGTGTGGTCGTGCTGGGGTGTGGTCGTGCTAGGGTGGGGTCGTGCTGGTCGTGCTGGTCGTGCTGGGGGGGTCGTGCTGGGGTGTGGTCGTGCTGGGGTGTGGTCGTGCTGGGGTGTGGTCGTGCTGGGGCGTGGTCGTGCTGGGGTGGGGTCGTGCTGGGGTGGGGTCGTGCTGGGGTGTGGTCGTGCTGGGGTGGTCCGCACCCTGTGATTTATCGATCGGGTCGTGCTGGGGTGTGGTCGTGCTGGGGTGTGGTCGTGCTGGGGTGTGGTCGTGCTGGGGTGTGGTCGTGCTGGGGTGTGGTCGTGCTGGGGCGTGGTCGTGCTGGGGCGTGGTCGTGCTGGGGTGTGGTCGTGCTGGGATGTGGTCGTGCTGAGGTGGCCCGCACCCTGTGATTTATCGATCGGGATTTCAAAAACAAGCGTTTCGCCTGAGACATCCTCAAATTTTAATCCGCCGGCCTCCTTCGACCTCGATATGTATCAGGGAAAGAATCCGCCGGCCTCCTTCAAGTTGGGCACGGGGGGATATGTTTACATAGAACATGATCGACCCACGAACCCGGAAAGGAATATAGAACTGTAACACATGGCAGCGTTTTCAAAGACACCTGATTGGGTGACGGGCAAATGCAATGCTGAGTGTATCGATCTGGATGTACCCTGCCGAGGGCTGTGCTGTGCTGCGCCGTGCTGAATTGCGATGTGCCATGGCGCGACTGTGCTCTATAGCCTCGTGGATCGAGTCCTCCTTTGCATCCGAGTCCTGACCGAACTGATCTGGATCTTAAGCTCGAGCTGCCTGAACACATAGTAGCTGCCCCAGAGCTAATGGACAGGGGAACATGCCAGGAGGACGCGCCGCGAAACGTCCCAAGGGATGCGCCAGGCGACGTGCCAGGGGACGTGCCATGGGGTCGCACCGCGGGACGTGCCAAGGGGACGCGCTACGGAACGTGCCAATGGATGTGCCACGGGATGTGCCAGGGGACGCGCCACGCGACGTGCCAGGGGGACTCGCCAAAGGACGCCCCACGGAACGTGCCAAGGAACGTGCCAAGTTGCAATGCTGAGTGTATCGACCTTGATGTACCGTGCCGAAATCAGTGCTGTGCTGCGCCGTGCTGAATTGCGATGTGCCATGGCGCGATTGTGCTCTATAGCCTCGTGGATCGAGTCCTCCTTTGCATCCGAGTCCTGACCGAACTGATCTGGATCTTAAGCTCGAGCTGCCTGAACACATAGTAGCTGCCCCAGAGCTAATGGACAGGGGAACATGCCAGGAGGACGCGACGCAGAACGTCTCAAGGGACGCGCCAAGCGACGTGCCAAGGGACGTGCCATGGGGACGCACCGCGGGACGTGCCAAGGGGACGCGCTACGGAACGTGCTGGGGACAAGCGTTTCGCTCAAGACATCCTGTCAAAATCATCTGAATTCCTACGCGCGGGACGCTGCACGCGCAAGACATCCTCGGAATTCCTGCGAGCGGGACGTGATAAGAAGCATTTCTCCTGAGACATCCTTTGAATTCTGGCCCCCCACAAGGCCACCGCTCGAGACATCCTCCAATTTTGCAAAACCAGCGTTTCGCTCGAGACATCCTCTACAAATTATGAAAAACAAGCGTTTCGCTCGAGACATCCTGTCAAAATCCAAAGAAATCCAAATACCCGCGCGCGGGACGCGGCACGCGCGAGACATCCTGGAATTCCTGCGCGAGGGGCGCTTTTCCGTGTCGCGGTCGGCTCTGCAAAACCAGCGTGTCGCTCGAGACATCCTCAACAAATTCTGAAACCAAGCGTTTCGCTCGAGACATCCCCAACTCTGCAAAACCAGCGTCTCGCTCGAGACATCCTCAACAAATTCTGAAAAACAAGCGTTTCGCTCGAGACATCCTCAAAAATAATTTCGCCGGCCCTCTTCCCGCACGTAATTTATCGCAGAATAATTTCGCCGGCCCACCTCCCGTCGAAACCGGGGGGTAAACCAACTAAAAGAGAACCCTGGGCCTGCGCCCTTTCCGGGAAAAAGAGAACCCTGGGCCCGCGCCCTTTCCGGGAAAAATAGAAAAACTTCCGAAGAAGTAGAGATGGACAATGGGTAAGTGCAAGCACTGTTTGGAGGATGTTTTCCACGCGTGGAACAAATGTGCCATTCTCGGGCCTCTCGGCTAGGGAGGATTCCAGGTTGGCATCCGAGGAATCCCAAGGGAGCCCCAAGAGCCCAACGAGGGCCCCAAAGCGCCACACAGACCGCCCAGGACAGCTCGAACAGGGCCCCAAGACGGCCCGAGAGGGGCACAGGGCAGCTCACGAGAGCCCCAGGATGACCCATGCGGCCCCCTAGACAACCCAAGACGGCACCAAGATGCCACAAGAAGCCCCAAACATGGCCAAAGAGGATCCAAGGAGGGCCTCAAGACAACCCTCTAGGAACCCAACTGGGCCCCAAAACGGCCCTTGGAAGTATGCCACAAGAGAGCTCCCCACGTCACAACAGTGGGAGCAGAGTCACACAGACAGGGTGCTGCGCTGGCACGGTGGCGGAACTTGGCGTGGGCAGCTAAATGCACCTGCGTCGACCCTGGCCAGGATGTTTTGTTGATGGAAGATGTTTTTCCTGGCCTGGATCGGTGCGACGTGCTGAGCTATAGTTAGCATCTGTTCTTGACCCAAGCCAAAAAGAAAAACGGAGTGCCACAATATCGGGCGGCGCGGCAGGGACACCACAATATCGGCCGGCGCGGCAGGGACACTGCTGTCTACACGAGGTCCACAATCCTCACCCATGGAGCACAAAACGCGGGCTCCGCGTTTGAGCGCGAGCAAGCGGTGCAAGCACGTCGGGCTCCGCCACAGTGCTGCGAGACACGGAGTGCATTGTCCTCGCGTCCCTGCGAGGGGCGACAGGAGTGCCACTCTCGCGACGGCGCCGCGCAGGTCTCGCCGGAGCGCGGCGTTTCCACCTCGGCGCGGCGCCTGCCCTCTGCACTTGCCGAAATTTTTGGGGCCACGCGCGAGCGGGCGACTCGTCGCCCTTACCCAAACTCCGTGCACTCTTCGCTTTGAAACGGCGTTCCCGCGTGGGCGCGGCGTTTCGCCTGCCGAGCAGCGCGCAAGCGGGCGGCAGCGCCAGCGGGGCCGTGCGAGAGCGACCGAAATGCTGTCCTCGCCCAAGCCGCGCAATTGGCGCTGGCAATGCTGTGTCGGCGCGGCGCGTGCTTCGCCTTCGTTGCGAGCATCGGAAACTCTGCCGCCCGCCGGAGCACCGCGCATGGACTTTCTGAAATGCTGGTCCCGGCCCCTGCGCGGCCCGCGTCGTTTCCCCTTCGTCAAGCCGTCGGAAGCGGGGCCGCGCGGGAGCGCCTTCCCTTCGTTAGGTGGGAACGCGTTCCGATGCCAATCTCAAGTTGTGCGAAACTTCATTCCTCTGCTATAAGAATGATGATGGGAATGGACGGATTCTGCTGACTCGTTCGGCCTAGCTCACTTGACTCCTACTCGCTACTCCTCATCGGATTCCCCTCTCCGACCTTCTCTCGCACTTCCTCTCCTCCTCGCCCAGTTCATCCTCAACCTCGCCCCCCCTTCCCCGCCCTTCCCTCCCTCCGCCATTTTGTCGACTCAAAATTGGGCATTGGACTCGCGCGGGCGCTGGGGGGTTCTACTTTTGTTGTACTCTCACGCCTGTGCTGCCCAATGCCTCGGGACAACGGGGGGGAAACTGGGGGGATGGCAGGGGGGGAGTCAAGAATTCCACCTGTGCGTCCTTCTACGATCTCTCCTCCCTCCTTCGACTTCCTCCGCCTTGTCCGGTTCCTCTTCGTCGGCCTCCTCCTGCGCCGAAGGATTTATGCTTGGATGTCGGCTTCGTAGTGTTTTGTTGGGGTGAAAGCAGGGCTGATTAGTAAAGATCACCTGCTGGTGGGGCCAGGACCTCTGAAAGCCGCCCCGAGGGGCGATGAGCACTGAAGCACGGCAGGGAATTTGTTGATTCTCTCCCCAAGGAAGCTCTCAGAGGCCGAGGTCGCTGAAATGCTGTTGTTCGCGTGCTCCATGTGGGCTCCCTGGCGGGCTTGAACCCAGCAGCGGGGCCTGTGCGGCTGTGCGCTCGCTGGAGCTGCGGCCGGCGAGGGGCGCTGGTCGCGCGACTGGAGCGGCCTTCGCGCGCCAACCAGCGAAGGACGGGAAGGAGGGAGAGGCCGAGAGCTGCCCGTTGGCCAAGTGCCGCTGCTCGGAGGTGCATCGCCCGAAACCCTGAAGCCAGGAACCACGGGCAGGGTGCGAATGTACGTAGTTCGAGTCCCCAGTTCTTTCTACAAGTCTTGCCAGGACAACACCGGGCAGTATCCACAACAGGAGGAGGACGATCCAGTCCTTTGCGCAGCCACCAGTCTGGGTGGCCCACCTGGCCAACACAGAGATGTGGCCACCATGTTGAGGAAGAGAGGCCAATAATCGTCGTTCGCCAGCGCAGCAAACTCAAAATGGCATGCTGAGGGGGATGCACTGGGAATATGGATCCGAGTGGCTAACCGCCAGCCCCGGACATTAAATTCTACCCCCTCTTAACCGTTGAGTGATTCTTATTCACGGCCAATGCAGAGTTGGTCGGGGAAGAAGGGCGGCAAAGCCGAACTTGATAATCACGGGGGAAAGCTACGAATCGAAGTTGGATTTCCTAAGGAATCCGATGGGTTTCCTCAGAGATCCCGATGTCAATCGGATTCCTATGGATTTCCGAAGCACTCCTATGGATATCCAAAAATAATTTCTATGATAAAAAAACGTCGTTTATGTAATGTAGATACTATGTGTATTGTATATATATATACGTTCAAGGCCACTTTGATCATCATCATCATCAGCAGCATCAGCATCATCAACATCACCATCACCATCACCATCACCATCACCATCATCATCATCATCATCATCATCATCATCATCATCATCAACATAATCTTCATCAGTATGCTGAGATATACGGGAAGACGTTTGTTCTCCCGCCTGGGCTCCGAACTTCATTATCCCCAGGGGATGAATGTCAGTAGCAGTCAGTTATTTGTTGAAAGAGCGCAGCGGAGGGCTGGGCAACGTCAAGAAACAGTGGGCGCACGTCTCGATACCTTTCGAGATTGAGCTGTTCCAGAGGTGCGACCTCATCCCTCGTCCCTCTTCGCTCGGCTCGGGCCCTTGTACCCTCTTGAGTGCACCTTGAGATGCCTTAGGCCTCTCGGGGGCCGCTGTTGGATCCTCTCAAGCGGCTTCTGGATATGTCCGAGGCCTTGATGCGTTGTAGGACCGTCTCGGGAACCACGAACGGCCTCCTTGGCGCTACTTAAGTGAAGGGGCCCTGGGACACACAAATAAATAGACACAAATAACAGGATTTCCCATATTTCCAATATTTTCAGTTTTTGTTTTTTTTCCCACTTCCCATATTTCCCCATATTTTCGGAGGAAATCGACGATTAATTGTGTCTGTGTTTTTCTCCCTCCTGACTCCTTCAGGGACCTCGGCACTGGACGCCTTGGCGGCCTCCCTTGACGATCACCGCCAGAAACGTCTTCCCAGCAGGTTCCAGCATGGAGAGAAGGCAAGGGGGATGGGGAAGGGGGTGCAGAGGGAGAGGGATACTTGGGGAGAACGGCGGGGGAGGAGGATCAGATGGGGCCTCTCAGGGGCCTGACCTAAGCCCCTGGAACCCTCCAATTCGCAATCCAGAGACGAAATCGCTCGACGCATCCTTCAAGACCAGTCCGGGACACAAGGGTCCAATATGGTACAGAGGCGGGGAGGGGACGTGGGGTCGCCATTTACAATGCTGTGTATGGGGTCATCCAATGTTCACAACCGGCGCCCCCGCACTGGGCTCCATGTGACGACTCAAACATGCTCTCACTGTGGAGGAAATGTTTGCCTCGATCGAAGGCTCCGCCGAAAGGCCTAACGCACATCCACCTACGACTTCAAAGGCCTGCTCTGCATCCCGCCAGACGCGACACTAGCCACTCCAAGCGAGGGCCTGACGGAAGCCGATCACAGCGCCTTTGCTAATGACAAAAAGGATGTACGTAGTCTGGCGGAGAAAGCCGACCAGAATCCGACGGGATTACGTTCACGTCGCTGAGATGATGCTGAGCGGACGTAGGACTTCCCACCCTGGTGGGCCTCAAATCACATATACACTATCCAAGCTTGCCTTCTTCGGCGTCAAACGAAACAACAAAGTGCCGTGCGCTTGGACATGCAGAAAGCCCGTCTCTGGGAAGCGGCCGGTATCGACACCAACGTCCTCGCGCAGCCACAGGTCGCGCACCGAGGCAGCCACGCCGCTTGCCCAGCCTAGCTCAGGGAATGGGACCGCACCTGGAGAACCAAATAGCCCGCTCCAGAAACCATGCATCCGACAATGCCCACGCCTCCCTTTTACTGATGCCGCCACTCGCCTGCCATCCGCCGTTCCACTCCCGAGTGCTTTCCCCAGCCTTCCGCCGGCGTCTGCCGAACGGCGAGGCCCGTTCTGGTGCTCGCCAAACAGCTACAGTCAAGCTGCTGCAATAAGGAACGCTAAGTGGGGAACGAAGCTCCTGTTTGGCAACAAAGGGGCCTGGGTGCACGAGGAGGGCCAGAGTAACAACCACAGAGTGGCCTAAGGAACAACGAGCCCCTTCCGAACCCAAAGCGGTGCTCATTTCAGCGTCTTGACTGCACCTGCGCCCAAGCTTACGGAGGTCTGCGCGGAGTTCTCGGGCTGCTCGTACCTGGCCCACCGTGCGGAAGGTGGGCTTCAGCGCCGGACCGACCGATACATCCGCGGGGGCCTCCGAGAGGACAGGAGGGCGTCGACTATACACCTGCGCCGACCCTGGCCAGGCCCATCCTGGACCCAGGATTGGTGCGTACGTCCTCCTGTCTTGGCCGGGGAAAGCGTATAGCGTTCAACGCCAATCACGAGCCCAGGTGGGACGGACCAGGACTGGCGCAGGTGCACGTACACGAGTTGGTGGGTCTCTGGAGCACCAGGCGATGCACTGTCCCCCGGGTTGTAGAAGGCGACTGCGACGCTGCCGTCGGAGAGGTTGCGAGCGTAGACCATGGTCGAGTTTTCCCGCTGCCCTGCGGAGTGCAGGAGGCGCCCTGCCGGCGTCACGTCCTGGTTGATGGCGAGCACCTCGGTGTTGAGCAGGATCTCCTTCTGCAGCGGAGTGATGGACGGCCGGCACGAGCTCGGGGTGAAATTCCCGTTGATCTGATCTGTGGACGAGCAGTTCAGGATAGGTGTCGTGACCACGAGGGGCGAGGCCAGTATCGCCCACATGCTGAACTCCGACTTGTACTCGGCAGCGCTCATGTCAGCAGCTACGCCATTGGAGCGCGCCGCCTGCCTGTAATTCCCTGTCTGCAGCATGTCCATGTCATTCCACGCGAAAGGAGCGCCACCATGTCTGGCAGGGATAGCCGTGCGCTGGGCGATGATGTCCTTCGTGGAATCCCAGCTCGCCACGTGGTCCTGAGTGGCCCGCCACGACTGTGCGATGCTGGGACCCCACCTCCAGGGCTCTTTTTGGCCCCACTCGCACATGTTCAGATGAATGTGGCGGCCTGTCCTGTTGAGTGCATCGGACATGTTCCTATACGCAACGACAGGATCCATGTCGTCATGGTTGCACCAATCCATCTTGACCACGTCCACCCCCCACTCGGCAAAAGTGGCAGCATCCTTGTCCCAATGGTCTCTGGACCCGGGCCGCTTACCCACACATGTCCAGGTCCCCCCGCAAGTGTACAACCCATAGGTGAGACCCCTGCTGTGCGCGTACTGGACCAATTCCTTCATGCCCCTGGGGAAATGGCCGCGATCTGCCTGAAGAAATCCAGAGGCGTTCCGGGACCTGTCTGCCCAGCAGTCGTCCAGGTGGAAGTGGCGGTATCCTGCCTCGTACAAGCCGACCTGACCAGCGTCGAGAGTATCCTTATCCCTGAGATTGACAAACCCAGGGCGATTACAATCGTAGGGATGTGCTCTCAGAAACGGAAGGACTCCTTCAGATCAGCACCGGCACAGGGTGACGTCGATCATAGGGATAGGGATGCGCTTCAAGCTGGCAAGGCCTCGTGGAACGCGTCGATGGAGGCTTTCACGCTGGACTCGTCGCAGAAGTCGAACTCTGGCGGCTGCGCGGCAGCCGAGGCTTCTTCTGGGCCGAGGGCCACCCAACTGGACCAGCCGAGAGGGGGCATCTTCTCGGCTGGTCAAGGATGGGGCTCTGATGGATTGGGCCCTAAGGCTAGGAAGTGGATCACAAGTTGAAGCCTCGCTGTGTGAGGTTCTCACCCTGAGGGCCCCATCCCAGAGAACTTCTAAATAAATGGGTCCAAGTAGATAGGGTCGGTGGCTCGCGCAGCATCGCCGATGCATCGGCGCCGTCGGAGATGCATCGCGGACGTCGGCGTGGAGAAAAGCGAGCTCCACATCGAGCCTCATCGGCGATGCATCGGCGATGCGGCGCGATCCTCCGATCCCATTTGCTCCGACCCCATCTGGGAGGCATGCTGTTGGGAACTTGTGCTTAGCGTGTCGCCGCGGCGGCCCCGGCGATACGCCATGCCATGCAAGCGGATGGCGCTCCGCGGGCGGAGGCTGGGAAAGACTCGAGACTTCGACGCCTGGGGCCCGCGAAGTGGATAGCGTCTTGCGAAATAGCGTGGTGGTCCAGAACGGGAGGCGCGACACGCCATCCAAAAGTTCCCGACCGTACTCCGACCACACTTGGGAGGCCCAGAATCCCTCAGGGCCCCACCTTTGAACCCCGCCGATCTTCGAGTGCGGCGCGCCGTTGTCGAGGCCGCCGGCGCGCCAGGCCAGTGAAACCGCCACCAGCGAGCACGCGGGAGCGCGCATCTCTGGTGCGCGCGCGCTCTGGCCGCGGGGGGATGTGCTGGCGCGTCGGCTGTGCAGTCAAACTCGATTGAAGAGGACACGCGAGAGGATACGGGACACCTCCGAGGGGCACATTGCCATATGAATGCAGAAGGCATGGGGTGCTAAACACAGGACGCAAGGCTACCCTTGCTTTGGCGGCGTCGACCTACGAATCAAACTCGACTGTGGGGTGGGCGAGCTGTGCCCACATCCTCTCGGTCAGAGACACAATCATGTAGGGAATCAGAGAAGGCATACGCATGAACGCTCGCAGGTCCGAACGCTCATGCTTATGCAGCTGTTTCTTTTTCGAGCAATGCTGTGTTCATGGTTGCTCGTTGCCGCTGCCGATGCAATTCAGGGGGGGACTCCTGAACTTGTTGCCACTCCTCGTCCAGAGCCACCTGGGCGTGGGACGCCAGTGAGTTCCTAAGTGAAGCGCTCTCCAACACGCATGCAAGGCATCGGACATTTGAGAGGATGGGGGGAGGGGAATCAGCAAGCACGTGAGCATCTCTGTTGTCAGAGGCTGTGCGGCCGATGGAGTCGCCAGCGATTGTCTCATGAGCGACCTCAATCGCGCACATGGCAACGTATACTTCTCTCCGATGTCTGGCATCCCAAAAAGCAAAATACATTCGAAACGTCAAGACTTCGCGTTTGAGCGTGTCTGGCCAGTGCATCTCAATGAGACGAACGTGTTGATGTATGGCTCTTTCCCAAGCTCTGAATCCCAAACATGATGGACCCACGAACCCGGAAAGGGATATAGACATGTGCAGCATGGTCACGTTTTCACGATATCCAACTGGGCGACACCTCACGAAACATCCCACGAGACACCCCGCGAAACATCCCAGGAGACACCTCACGAAACAACCCACGAGACACCTCACGAAACATTCCACGAGACACCCCGTGAAACATTCCACGAGACACCCCCCACGAACAGGCAACCACTCAACCAGACACCCCACGAAACATTCCACGGGGGTGCGACTGGGTGTGGTCGTGCTGGGGTGTGGTCGTGCTGGAGTATGGTCGTGTTGGGGTGTGGTCGTGCTGGGGTGTGGTCGTGCTGGGGGGTGGTCGTGCTGGGGGGTGGTCGTGCTAGGGGGGTGGTCGTGCTGGGGGTGGTCGTGCTGGGGCGTGGTCGTGCTGGGGCGTGGTCGTGCTGGGGCGTGGTCGTGCTGGGGCGTGGTCGTGCTGGGGTGTGGTCGTGCTGTGGTGAGGTCGTGCTGGGGTGTGGTCGTGCTGGGGTGTGGTCTTGCTGGGGTGGGGTCGTGCTGGGGTGTGGTCGTGCTGGGGTGTGGTCGTGCTGGTCGGCTGTGGTCGTGCGTGCTGGGTGTGGTCGTGCTCGTGGTCGTGGGGTGTGGTCGTGCTAGGGTGGGGTCGTGCTGGGGTGGGGTCGTGCTGGGGTGTGGTCGTGCTGGGGTGTGGTCGTGCTGGGGTGTGGTCGTGCTGGGGCGTGGTCGTGCTGGGGTGGGGTCGTGCTGGGGTGGGGTCGTGCTGGGGTGTGGTCGTGCTGGGGTGGTCCGCACCCTGTGATTTATCGATCGGGTCGTGCTGGGGTGTGGTCGTGCTGGGGTGTGGTCGTGCTGGGGTGTGGTCGTGCTGGGGTGTGGTCGTGCTGGGGTGTGGTCGTGCTGGGGCGTGGTCGTGCTGGGGCGTGGTCGTGCTGGGGTGTGCTGCTGGGATGTGGTCGTGCTGAGGTGGCCCGCACCCTGTGATTTATCGATCGGGATTTCAAAAACAAGCGTTTCGCCTGAGACATCCTCAAATTTTAATCCGCCGGCCTCCTTCGACCTCGATATTTATCAGGGAAAGAATCCGCCGGCCTCCTTCAAGTTGGGCACGGGGGGATATGTTTACATAGGAAAAGAGAACCCTGGGCCTATGCCCTTTCCGGGAAAAACATTCCCAAAACCATGCTTCCACTTAGAACTTCTAAACTACTTGTGCTCCAAAAAAAGAACCGGACCCTGGTGGCGGTCCCGCTGACTCGTCGCCGCCCGTCGCCGCGCGTCGCCGCAGTGGCCGCTGGGCCCCACTTGCGGTCCGGCCAGCACGTCGACACCCGTCGCCGCGTTGCTTCGCACTGCTCTGCATGTTTTGGATTGACTTGCATCGCTTCCGCACTGCTTTCGAACACTGATTGCGCCACCTCGATTTCACCGCATAGACTGCAAGACATCATCGTTTGGGGTCCGTGCTCGCTACCAGCGCATCTCTCATAAGCCCGAAATTGACCTAGGCCGTCTTCGGCCAGGCGTTCGCCAGATTCCGCCCGCGGAACTGTCCCCACACTTGCTTCCTCTGGCTTCCGCCTAAAAAAACCGTCCGATCGATCCCTCGAAGGCGAAGCCCTTTTCTGGAAGGCCTCATGTAAGGCAACGAACAGCAACTATCGACAACCACCACCTTCGTGCATGTTCGACCCAAACAATGTGCGACGTTCAATCAACAAGTAAAGCACTGCATCCAGACTCCTGCTCTACTACCGCACCGATGACAGACCCGAGCGGTCGAATGCGACGCACCTCTAACCAGGCGTGCCGTCGCCAGTTCCACGAAGTGGTCTGGACACTGCCACCTTCTCTCCCTCCTCACCTCCTTGCAGAAACTCCGGCGGCAATGTGATTGCCTTTTGTAAAACCCATGCGGGGGCTCGGGCATCGCGGGTGGCGTTGAAAGATCACATCAGATCGGGGCCGCCGTCGCCAACGCCGCATTCTCCAGGCTCGCCACAGGGATTACCACAGAACTTGTAATCGCCTCTGGCACCAATCACTGCTTGCATCAACCTGTCTCCGCCATGATCCTCACCATCCTCACCAACATCACCGCGTTCGTCGCCACCAGTACCGACTGCGGCCACAATCGTCACCGTCGTCATCTAAGACGAAACCAGAACGCGGACAGCATCGGGCGAGGATGAAAATTGGGAACCTCTGAGATCTGGCGGTCCTGGAGGATGTAGCGAGCGCCGCGGCCTTCTCAGAGCATCCCAGAGCGCTCTGAGAATGCTCCAGAGCGCCCTGGAACGGACTCGTCCTCGTCTTCGCCCCGCCCGATTCGTCGCCACCATCATCGCCATCATTCGCCGCCGCCGCCGCTGCTGCCGTCGACGCCACCGCCGCCACACTGGGACCGCATCAGGCCCACCGCAGCAGCCGCCGGCTGCCCCCCCCCTGGCGGCTCCTGCCGGCCTCTGCCCGACGACTGCCCCGAGCTCCTCTGCGGGCCACGCCCCCGCCGCCCACCCACCCCCGCCCCTCTGAGGCCACGGGCCCGCAGGGTCTCGTGACGGGCCCTGCCTCATCTAGTGCCTTCGGACCTGGCTGATGGCACGCTGATAACCTCCCTGGTCTGGCACGACTGATGCTCTGCAATCGCGCTAGCGCGAAAGAAGGAAAGGAGCGAGCCGTTCGAAGACCGTTCATGGGTCATTGGTGTCAGAAGTCATCAGCAGGTCATTCGTGGGCCATTAGTGAATCGGTAGCGGGTTCATCTTCATAGTGGGCCATGAGTGGGCCAAATTCAGCAGTGAGCCACTCGCGGGGCCATTAGTGGAGCCACTACTGGGTCATTAGCGGGGCATTCGCGGGTCCTTCGTGAGGAATGTGTGGGGCGTTGGCGGGGCGACAAGCATGGCGGGGCATTCCAGGAGCAGCTGTGAGGTAAAGCCCTCCCTGACGGGCCACCTGGGGGCAACGTGCCCTTCGGCTTCCGTCCCGCGAGCGACAAGCACATCCACATCCACGCCCTTCAGGTCTGGATGGCCCCGAGGCGCGAGCCCAGGGAGATCTGCGCCGCGGGGGGCACCCGCGCAGAGCTGGAGGCCAAAACGGACGACAACCAAGTCGCCGTGATTTTTCTCGAGGCGCCGGATGGTCGCCCGCCCGACGGCCACCATGTCGGTGTCGGATTAGATGCTCGTTCTGGGGACCTTCCTGGTGGGCCACTCGCTCCACTCATGCGCCGATACTGCGTCGAACGTCCGTCGCCTTGAGTCGAGCTCGAGTCGAACTTGAGTCGAGCTAGAGCCGAACCAGATTCGAAATGAAGTCGAATTAGAGTCGAACGGAGCCGTTAGCTGGGCCCCAGGAGGGTCCCCGAACCGAGTATCAAAGGTATAGGCCGACGGCGAGGACGGGGGTGGTACCAGTGGCGGCTCCAGGGGCGCTTCCTCTGGGCGCCTCCCCTTCTGGTCGGGCGGGAGGGCTTCGAAGGTCTGTGCCTTGACCTGGCGGGAAAGGTTCTGAGGGAAACAGGTCCTGCAACTGCGGGGCTTTACCCCGGGACCAACTCTTCATCGTTAATCCCACCAGCCCTCTGGGCGACAGGTCGTCTACCGATGTCTGTCGTTCCCCATCCACAACCTCTTCTTCCCCTTCGGGGAGAGAGGTTTATCACTGTTCCCTATTAATAAACACCCCCTCCCCCAGGCGACTGGGGGCCAACCAGGGTCCATGACAACACCCCCCCCACCATTCCTTGTAAAAAACAATGCAAACCACACTTTGCCTCCAAATTCGGAACATGCGCAGCCAACCCGATGCGGCCCCCCCACACCATCCCTGTCAAAAAACGATACATAGTACACTTGGCGGCGGCGGCGGCTGCGGCGGCTGCGGCGGCTGCGGCGGCTGCGGCGGCGGCGGCGGCTGCAGCGGCTGCGGCGGCGGCGGCGGCGGCTGCGGCGGTGGCGGTGGCGGTGGGGGCAGCGGCTGCGGCGGCGGCGGCGGCGGTTTGGCAACGGGGGGGGCGGCGCGGCGCGGCGGCGGCGGCGGCGGTGGCGGCAGCGGCTGCGGCGGCGGCGGCGGCGGCGGCGCGGCGGCAGGCGGCGGCGGCGGCGGCGGCGGGGGCGGCGCGGCGGCGGCAGGCGGCGGCGGCGGGCAGCGGCGGCGGCGGCGGCGGCGTCGGCGGCGGCGGCGGCGGAGGCGGCGGCGGCGGCGGATTGGCCCCCAGTAGCTGCCCATCCAATGACGACTGCTGAATATGCTCAGGCTCGGGCCAGACTCGGGTGCTACGTATGTGTTGGGAGGGCGGGTCGGAGTGAGCGAGACGGCTTGCGGGCGGGGAGGGGGTCTTGACCCCTCCCCCTACCCCTTCCCCTGGACGGGGGGGGGTCGCGAGGGGTTGGAGCGTCCAAGATGGCCCAAGATGGCCCCAAGAGGGCCTCAGAGAGCCCAAGATGGCCTCCGATATCGCTCAAGATAGCCCAGAATGGCTCAGGATAGCTAATAACATGCCTCCGAGAGGCCCCAAGAAAGCCACAAGAAGGATCCAAGTGCTTTTGGAGACCCGTCAGGACCTCCCCGAGAAGCCCGAATCCTTCAAACACATAAGGAAAACCAATGATGCTTGCCTTCTCGCCTGTTCGCTTCCGATAAGCATGTGAGGCCTCAAGATGGCCCCTGGATGGCCGGAGACAGCTCCAAGAAGGGCTCGAGAGGCCCCCAAGACGGCCCCAGGGCCTCGCAAGATCGCCCCCAGAGGGCCCCAAGAGCGCCCCAAGAGGCAACTTTGATGGCCCCGGAGGGGGGAGGGAAATCAAGGACCCCCCCTCCTTTGATCGATGGTCTCCAAAATGGCGCGAGGAGGCCCTCCGAAGCTCCCAGGGGAGTCCCAGTATGGCCCCAAGGGGGCCCCAAGAGCGCCCCAAGACCCCCCAAAAGAGCCCCAAGAGGACCCTAAGAGGTCCCGAAAAGAGCCCCAAGAACGGTTTCTCCAGCTCTTTGTTCCTCTGCATGCTCCTTTACTTCCCTGAACAGGGCGACTCGTCTGGGCATCGTCTCTGGATAGACAGTACTCTTCCATAGACTGGCTGCTTTAGGATGGACTGGTGGGAATTCGCGACGAGCAAACAAACAATTGCTCTTTTGACACTCACGTGGCCAGTGGAGGGCCAAAGTTAACCAAAACCCGCGAACAAACTCTAGGACCCGTTTCCCTCGAGACCCCTTCCCAGACATGCGAGGACCTGTTTTTTTCTGGACGGCGTCCCTGGAAGTCTAAACCCTTTCCACAATGCCAGTTGTTCATCCTGAATCGTTTTTTGACGGAGGGCCCCCAGGGGCCGAAAATCGAGAAAAACCTCCCGTCCTGATTTTTGTTACGACGCGATCATGTCTGGGTTCCTTCATGTCATGACAAACCGATCCGCAGCATCGATCACCGAGGAGTAATCGCAAGCAGGCAGGTAGGCAAGGCTTCGGGGGCGCTGTACGAGTGGACAGCTGTGGGGCCGCGGAAAGCATAGCCCGGGTGGCGCCAGAGGCGCACAGTCTTTCTCCAGACAGGCGCTGGTGGGAGGGGCAGGAGGAGGAGGGAAGGAGGAGGAGGAGATCAGGAGGAGGAGGAGGTTCAGGAGGAGAGTGAGAAGGAGGAGATCAGGAGGAGGAGATCAGGAGGAAGAGGTGTTAAGTCGTCCCCAAGACGCTCGAAGAGCGAGAATCGAAGACTCTGGGTGCTCTGGCGCTCTGGGCCAGTTGCGGACGATGACGGAGCGCACGAGGAAGAGAGAGGGGGAGGAGAGAGGAAGGGGAGGGGGAGAGGGAGGAGGAGGAGGAGGAGGAGGAGGAGGAGGAGGAGGAAGAGCAGGGGGGGGGCGGGTTGTATGGGGTGGAGGAGGGGGCTGGGAGAAGAGCAGGAGTGAAGCGGAAGGGGGGGACCCAGTTCTTCTCGGGTCGTGAACAAAATCGTGACGAGAGATTCTCCCACTGAGGACCACAGAAAATCGCCCACAAGGGCGACGGGGAGCCAGAGGAGGTCTGCGCCGTCTGGCAGCTGGTGCGGCAGCCGTGTCGCCCGAGGCTTCCTTATACTGAATTCAAGAATCGTGCTCTCGCCTCAATGCTGGCTACATCGTAGGTCCGGACGGCACCGATCCCTCAAACATGCACTGCATGCGGTGCACATCGTCGTGCTCCCACCCCTGTCACACGGCCAAGATCCCGGGGGAAAACAAATACTGTGTGCATGGCCAGATTTCTCACCCCTGTCGCACGGCCGCGATCCGGGGTTCAAAAAAACTACGGTGCACATGGCCGTGTCCTCACCCCCACCACACGGCCAATCCCTGGTAACAACACTGCAGTGCACATGGCCGTGCTCTCATCCCTGTCACACGTCCACGGTGCGTGGCAGAAAAACAATACGGTATGCATGGCTGTGCTGGCACCCCTGTCACACGCCCAAGACCCTGAGCGAAACAGATTCTACGGTTCTACGGTGCACATGGCCGTGCCCTCATCACTGTCACACGGCCACGACCCCTGGCAAACAAATTATCCCGGCAAAGCAACCTAACAGCGATGTGTAAAAGCATATCTGAAAGCATTCCCCTTAAAGATTCAGATGAAAATCCAGTTGCAGAATTCTGCTGTTCTCGCAGTCGTAGTCGCATTCGCGATGACAGTCGCAGCGGCAACGGCAGTCGCAGTCACAGCCTCAGCCTCAGCCTGCCTCAGCCTCAGCCTCAGCCTGCCTCAGCCTCAGCCTCAGCCTCAGCCTGCTTCAGCCTCAGCCTCAGTCTGCCTTCAGCCTCGGCCTCAGCCTCAGCCTGCCTCAGCCTCAGCCTGCATCAGCCTCAGCCTCAGCCTCAGCCTGCCTCAGCATCAGCCTGCCTCAGCCTCAGCCTCAGCCTGCCTCAGCCTCAGCCTCAGTCTGCTTCAGCCTCAGCCTCAGTCTGCCTTCAGCCTCGGCCTCAGCCTCAGCCTGCCTCAGCCTCAGCCTGCCTCGGCCGCAGCATCAGCCTGCCTCAGCATTCAAAATGTGGCCCAGGAATGGAATTCTGGGAACTAGAAGAACACGAAGTGGCCTACAGTTGGCTCCGGGCATTCAAAATCATGCCCAGGAATGGAATTCTGGGAACTAGAAGAACACGAAGTGGCCTAGAGTTGGCTCCGGGCATTCAAAATGTGGCCCGGGAATGGAGTTCTGGGAACTCGAAGAGCACGAAGTGGCCTACAGTTGGCTCCGGGCATTCAAAAGGTGGCCCGGGAATGGAATTCTGGGGACTCGAAGACCACGAAGTGGCCTACAGTTGGCTCCGGGCATTCAAAATGTGGCCCGGGAATGGAGTTCTGGCAAGTCGAAGAGCACGAAGTGACCTACAGTTGGTTCCGGGCATTCAGAATGTGGCCCGGGAATGGAGTTCTGGGAGGTCGAGGAGCACGAGATGTGTGACCGTTGGCTTAAAACGACTTCTGCGGCACCCTGTCCGGCACC